ACTCATACAACAAGAACGACTTCTTATCACCCGCAATCTGATGGAATGGTAGAACGATTTAATCAGACATTGGAGAGGAACCAAGCAAAAGTTGTAGATAATCGGCAACGAGATTGGGACAAGCACATATAACCGTTTTTGTTGTCATATCGAAGCGCTGTTCACGAAAGTACATCAGAGACACCAGCTTTCCCTTTAGCAACATATACGGAGGCAAAACCTAATGATAAAAAGAATACGATCACAATTCTTGGGGATGAAAATACGTCGGGTTTATCTTCAGCTTTATACAAATCACGAGAAGGAAAATGGAATAATAAGTATATGCCATTAGCTATAATAAAACCAAACGCTTCTTCATGTGATATTTTAATGCATTGCATTCAACTTGAAGATACAGTAACATTGTTGATCTGACTCCGCAAAACTAATGTTTATTTATTACCTGTACTAAGTAATTCGTATTTAAATGAAAAAATGATAAATAATATGTATAAAATATTGACTCAAAATCACAAAAATTCTAGGCTTATTCACATTGATTACAAATACTGCAATATAAATTCAAAAACCGATTACATAAATTACCTGTGTTATTCTATTAACATGTCTATAGATAGTCACGAGTATGATAAACAATTTATAGTGCAGAAAAGTAGGCTAAATAACTTGGCTGAAAAAACTGTAGATATTCGTTATTAAACGAACCTAAGAAGGGAACGATACCTTATTATTTCAAAAACAAACTTATAAAAAATCAAAAAGTTCATGAAGTTATTAATTATAAGAAAGGTACCATAGAATATTTCTTCGAAAAAATGAAAATGAAGAATTTGAAGTCAACGGACGGGCCTTTGCAAACTTGTAACGTTAATATAAATAATCCTATAGCGAATCGCTGCATAGGTTCCTCATTAAGTAATAAAAAAATGCTTTTTCGATAAAAACCAGCCTAATCAGAAACTACTTCTTTTACATCAAAATATTGCTGGAGTTTTAAATAAACAAGATTTGATTGCAGTGAGTTTAAATGAACTAGCTTATAGTAACAAATATATTCAAATCATTTGCTTCACTGAGACCTTTATTAAAGGTGGCGAAGAACCTAATCTTAAGCTGCCAGGTTTTCAGCCGGCATCATTTCTACTCCAGACCAAAAGAAAGACGTCGTGTAAGGAAAGATATAAATTATAATGATTTAATGGTAAAGAAAGAATATGAAATGACAAAACATTTTGAATGTTGCGAAATTGAAATGGGTAATTTTAATCTTATAATATTATGCATATATCGAACACCTAATTCAGACATAATCATATTTTTCGAAAAATTGAATAAATTATTATTAAAATTATCAAGAGGAAATAAAAAACGAATAATCATGGCAGGAGATTTAAATATAGACACTATAAAGGTTAGTAATTACTCTAAAAAGCTTAAAGATTTATTACTAAATTTTAACTTAACTCAACACATAACCTCCCCAACCAGAATTAATTCATGTATTGATCACTTAATAAGCAATGTTACAAAAGCAAAAGGTTCTATACATTATTTGGGTCTCTCTGACCACACGGGACAAGTACTGGAGCTTCCTATAAGTCAGTAAAACAGTAAAATACTGGTTTAAAGAGGGACTTTGTGAAAAAAGGGACTTTGCGAAAGATAATATACAAAAGTTCTTGGAAATATAATACAATCAATATCTTTTTCTGAAATCTATACTGAACAAGACACCAACAAAGAATTTTCAAGCTTTTATAATATTTACAAACTGTTCTTCGACCTGTGTTTCCCAACCAAATTAATTAAGATTTCGTTAAGAAATAATAAAAGTTATTGGCTTACAAGAGGTATAAAAAAATCTTGCGTAGTAAAAAGAAAGCTATATTGTAAATATCTGCTTACAGCGGCAAATATAAGGCTAAATAAATCTAGATGTTATGCTAAAATTCTTAGAAAATGTATTTTAAAGGCACAAAAAATTCAAAAAATATATATATTAGCCTCAAATAATAGTTAAAGCTATATGGAATGTCATAAGAACAAATATAACTAATAGACTAACTAATAAAGAAATAGATACCATAAATTACAATGGAAGAACCCTGATAGAAGGATATGACATTGCAAATGGGTTTAATAATTTTTTTATAGATTCGACAAATAAAGACAAACCCAATATGTCGAATAATTGTACGTGTGAACAATTCCGTCACTCTACTATATTCTTACGACCTACGACTCCTGATGAAGTTAATCAAATTATATTATCTCTTCGAAACACTAAGTCGGTTGGGTATGAAGAGTTATCGACAAAAAAAATTAAAACTAAGTTCTTTAAATATAGCACCAATACTTAGTCATATCATAAACTTATCTTTTACCCAAGAAATTTTTCCTGCAGATCTCAAGTATTCAGTTTAAAAACCCATCTTCAAAAAGGGCGATACTAAAGATATTAATAATTACAGACCTGTTGCAATAGTGCCCATTTTGTCAAAAGTTTTTGAAAAAGCAATACTTAAGAGACTTAATAATTTTATGAAAAAATTTAACATTATTAATAACGCACAAAATGGTTTTGTAAAAAATAGGTCCACAATACTAGCGACCTTCCAACTCGTTAAGCTTATTACAGAATGCGTCAATGACGGTGTACCGGTGGTAGCTCTTTTTTTGGATATGAGTAAAGCATTTGACTTCATCATGGCATACTTCTCAATAAACTCGAAAGATACGGAATACGTGGGAAAGCAAATGAATGGTTTAAAAGTTACCTGGGTCAAAGACAGCAATGCACTGAAATAACAATGCTCAAAAACCTTAAAAAGGTGCACATTCGGTCGGAATATCGGTTGAACAAATATGGTGTACCACAAGGAAGTATTCTGGGTCCTATGCTCTTCCTAATATATATTAATGAGCTACCAACAATAACTCCTCATAAAACGATTCTTTTCGTTGATGATGCAACAATCATTCTTAAATGTACGAATAAAAAGATTTTTAAATTTGATATCAATAGTACACTAAAACATATTATAATTGATTGGTTAAATTGTAACAATATGACTGTAAATATAAATAAAACTAAAATAATGCAATTTCATACAACTAGAAGTAAGCAAATTAATTTAAATATAATGTACAATGAAAAAGTGCTACAAGAAATTGATTAATATAAATTTCTTGGTATCACTATTGACAATAATTGTAATTGGAAAATGCATGTTCAATCGATATGTGATAAATTAAACAGATTTGTATTTGCACTTCACCGACTTCGAGAAATAGCATCTGCCAAAGCAGCGTAACAGCCGGTTCACTCTAGTCGTAAGTCGCATATGACTAAAAGTCGAATGCTCTGGTCACCATACACTTTATATGGAGCTGTTCACATTGGATGAGACGCGATTTTTACTCTAATACGACTCAAAAAACCATCCGACGGGCCAGCGCCCGTTGTAAGACTAAAAATCGCGTCGAAGCGTGCTCGCATAGGTGCCTGCTTGTTGCTGTTCACACTAGTCGTGCATCTAATCGACTCGAGCGCGTTGTTACCTCTCTCCCCACCCCGCTTCCTAGTTCGCTACACATTGCTTGCTCACTCCATTCGTGTTTTATTCGTCGTGTTGGTTGCGTGCGCGCTGTTTTTGTTTGTTGTGTGAAAATGGAGAAAGAAATAAAACCCGAAGAACTAATTCCATTAGTTCATGAAAGAGCAGTCCTTTGGGATAAAACTTTAAATGACTAAAAAAATAATAACCTGAAACTATTGGCCTGGCGCGAAATTTGTACCATACTAATACCTAATTTTGAAAACATGGAAGAAAAAGAAAGACAACATTTCGGTAAGTGCCAGTAAAGTTTATTAACTATTATACTACATAATTATGTATTTACAGTTGTATTATTAATTTTTAACTAATTTATATTATGCGTATCGCGCATTGGTTTGCCAAGGCAGCGAACCAATCGGGGAAGTAAAATAGTCTGCAAAGTCCGATCGTATAACATTTGCAATCGGACCATCACGAGGATTATGTACTCTCTGTTGTTGATCTTGTTCTTGTATCGATCGTTCTAGTGCAAATTGAATATCTTCAAAGTTTAGACCATCCCTTTCTCTTAAATAATTATGCAATACTGCACAGGCTTTCACAATATGGATAGCTGTGTCTGGGTGGACAATGGTCGATGCAGTATTCTCCATTTATTAGCTAACATTCCAAAAGCACACTCAACAAATCTTCTTGTACGGCATAATCGATAATTAAATATTCTTTTCGTATCATCCAAATGATTGCCTCCGAAAGGTCTCATTAAATTTGTCGTCAGAGGGAAAGCTTCATCGCCAACTAGTACATAGGGCATATCCTTTTCGATTGTTTCATGAAGAGGCCTTGGCTTTGGTATGTTTAAACTACCATCATTCAGTTTCTTCCAAAAGGTAGTCTCCTTGAATATGGAAGAATCGCATTCTTTCCCATATGAACCAACACTTATATAAATGAAACGGTATTCTGCATCAACAACAGCTAGTAAAACAAATGAAAAATAACCTTTGTAATTGAAATACATCGAGCCGCTTTGATTTGGTTTCACTACTCTAATATGCTTGCCGTCGACGGCTCCAATACAGTGTGGGAAGTTCAATATCAAAACCATTTGCGATGTTTTCCCATTTATTTTCATTGTCGGGCAACTTCATAAACTCTTCTTTTAATGTATACCAGATAATGCAACTCATTTCTTTGATAATTTTACTAACAGTTGATACACCGACTCTGAAATTGTAGTGTAGGTCTTTGAAGGAACATCCTGACGCACAATATCTGAAAATAATGTTGCAATATAATTTCAGGTAAATTAGTATTGACCAAGTGGACGAACTTACGGAATGTCTGAATCCATCCGGATCCGAACAAACAAAAATGATGAAAAAAAAATCAGGATGAGGGGCAAAGTCGTCAAAGCCATATGTATATAAAGAGCAAATGGATTTTTTGCGTAAAGTTGCTAGACCTAATCCTCCTCAAGAGTCTGTTGCGTCGCGTATATCTCAACCAGGGATAGAAGGCAGTACTCAGTTGTCTGAAAATTCGCAACCAAGCACTTCTAAAAGACAAAAGACCATGCCACCACAGCAACATATAATGGACTTAGATGTCAAAATGAGCGAGTTTTTAGACAGCAGGCTATCACAACAAACTGATCCCCCAATTTTATCGTTTTTTAAAGGTATCCTACCCTCTGTTACGTCTTTCGACGATGACGAAACGTTGGAGCTTCAATCAGGTGTATCACTGATACAACAAATCAAAAAGAAACGTGAAAACAGACTTTATGCAAATAATTATAATTACGCGCGTGATAGCACACGGCGATCGGGGTATTCGGCACAGAACTATAATTCAACAGACATTCCAAAATAATTAAAGAATTTTCGCTCGTCATTTTTTAATTCATGTATTAAATTTTTATAACTTCCTAAAGTCGATCTTTCTGTTAGGATTGGGTGCATCCAGCATTTTCTTGGAATTGACTTTTTTTCAACTTTTTTAATTTCCTTCATAAGTAGTAGAGCACAACAAGTTCTTCGTCGGCGTCCATCTCGTGAGTTCGCTACGTACCGAATGGCGCGAAACTACGACCTATACGACTCGCGACGCAGTGTGAAATCAGAGATGTGAACATCAGACTTTCGACTTTTAGTCATATGCGACTTACGACTAGTGTGAACGAGCTGTTAAACGCCTATCATGGCTATGTTTCGTCGGTATTGCAGTACGGACTTCTAATATGGGGGAAACTGTTCTGAAATAGAACGCATATTTAAAATCCAAAAAAAAATGCATACGAGCATTCTGTTAAGCACATTCCATGACATCGTGCAAACCATTATTTAAAGAAATAAAAGTGCTGCCACTCGCATGTATGTATATAAAACAAGCGGCGATTTTTGTCAAACAGTTCCCTGAATACTTCCCAAGTAATACCTTTTTAAGAGATAGAAGTTTAAGAGAAAAATCTAATAAAACAGAATATACTTTCCAAAATGTAAATTGATGCTCTTCCAAAAAGATTCAAATACAGAATGGGTCCCACATATATGCAATAAATGAAACCATATACTTGTTATCGCCTTTGCTGACGATATACAAAAAATGAACGTAATCGGTCCAGTAATTAGGTCAAAAAGTAGAGTTTTAATTTTAAGCAAATTTGAACACTCTATAGAATTGGGTCACTAAGTCAATGATTCAATGAACTTGAATCCTTGAACATTAAAAAGCGACGTTGCCACGCAGTGCAAACTATTGGTATTGCGACATATCGACAGCGGCAAAGAATATATACACTACGCGAAAAGAAACGACACTTAAGCATGTGTGCACGTAAAGTCGCTTGCGGCTATGTGTCTGGATATATAGGGTGTGTGGATGTGTGCGGGGGCCTTGAGAGACGCGCGGGGCGGGGAGCGGGCAGTCGCCAACTGCCCTGGCCGAGGGCTAGTAGTAATACCGATATTTGTCAGTATTAGTTAATATGAATATATTCGTCAAGTGACGAATATATTCATATTAACTAATTCAAATAACTATTTCAATTAATATATGAATATTACTGATATCTTAATGTACATATTACTATTCTATTCATGTAGGTATTAAGTTTATGTTACCAAATAACGTTATTAGTTTTTATAGCCGTGTATGCTAGGTTTAATGTTTTGATAAATATTAATGTTGTTATTAAATAAATGATATTATAGTATATGTATAAGTATTACTGAAAGTGATTTTAAGTGATTAGAATTAAAATAAATACCACTGCACAAAACAAGGTCCCTTGTTTTGTTAGTTTAATTTTTAATAATGTTTTATGATACCTAAAAATATGCGAACTCATTTTAATGAAAGTCGATATGATCTTAACAAGAATTATGGGGAAATACCATGACAATAAAACTAATATGTCGCCAATAATTTTTTTATATTACATTAACTGAAATATACACTATTAAAAATGCCCCTAGAGAGTAAAGAAATTTTAGATATCTATAAAGAGTTTTTGTATTTGTTCATTGTTGTACCTATTTATGGATTATTTCATTAGAAATAGAAATGACATCTCCTCAACACATAGGGAACAATTTGTTGGCCGCCATGTCCCAGGAAACCTGCATACCTTTGGATTTTCTAAAAAAAATACACATGCTACGAATTTTTGCAATTGTTAGAAATAATAATGAAAATTAAAAAATTAATCGAAAAATTCAAAAATATATAAGAGTAAATTATTTTTAAAGGATAGTAGGTAATACTGATCATTGCGTACTGAAATACTAAAGTGTTGGTTAATTATTTAAGATTACCATAAACTGTCGTGCATATTTGGTTTTGTCGGAAGTTTTAATATTCCTCATTTAATAAAAGTTGATTTAAAATTGAACGTATCTTTCACTACCCAAATACATAAGTTTACATAATATATAACACATACCTACTATGTATCTTTTTCGGTTCGATATCAACCCTAGCGTTACACGCTTCGACTCAAGGTCACCGGCGCTTAAGCTCTCACGTACAGGGAGTGTCACCGCTGTGACAGCGGTGTCTTTTGTCGGCGTGCCACCCGCGTGCAACGTTGTCACTCTTCCAAGGGGTCAAGGTACGTTGTCTAAACAGAGTGTTCACTTTTACTGAATTTATTTTAATATTTATTATGTTTGAAAATTTCACTTTTTATATTTAATTATTTCACTTTATATATTTACGGGTTTTAATTTAATATTTAATTTTTTCTACACTTCTACGGATTAGTATTACTTGTGGTTTCATTTATTGCATATATGTGGGACCCATTCTGTATAATGGCGATTAAAATCTTTAACTCTTCACCCGACGAGTTTAAAAATTTCCCAATGACAAAGTTAAAAAACCAACTTTTTGATATTTGTAAGTAAGTTAAATTCATCAAAAATATTGGTTGCCTGTAAAGTCGGTATACGGGCGAAAGTTTTAAGTGACAACGACTCTCTCACTCTCTCTCTCTCGCTCTGTCTCTCTCGCTCTTAGGCGGGCTAACTGTGCTCGAGTGGAAGGGACGCGTGCCTTTCACTTTTTATGTCTGTCTCTCTCGCTCTTAGGCGGGCTAACCATGCCCGAGTGGAAGGGACGCGTGCCTCTCACTCGCTCTCATTGTGAGCGCATAACGTGAGCGGAGCGTAACGCAGTTTCTTGAAGTGTCACCCGGCAAACCAATTTATAAGACGTTGTCACGTCAAAAAAAATTGTTATATCTAATTAGTCAAAATTTGCACGCCTCGACAAGGCAGAATGTATAGGAACTTTCATGTTTTAATAATACTATTGTAATATCTACCTACATTCTATGCAAATAAATAATTATGAATTATGAAAAAAAATTATGAATTCGCAAACTTTGGAAGAGAATTACGGCTGCCTGCAGACCTGATCACCGGGATACCACCTGATGTCCCACGCAGTATAACCGATTATGCAAATGACTTGCGGAACAAAATGAATGACATTTATGAGCACGTCAGACAATCGGGCCAGCAAATGTCTGAAAAGATGAAAACCCGGTATGACCGCAAAATGAACAACAAAGGGTTCGACGAAGGTTCACTAGTGTGGTTGCACAATCCAGTCCGCAGCAAAGGGAAATCTCCTAAGCTTCAAGTTCAATGGGACGGCCCTTACCGGATTGTGACCAGGATATAACCTACCGGATACAGAAAGCCGCAAGAGGTACTCCTAAGATCGTCCATGTGGATCGATTGGCACGTTATTATGGGGCCGATAATGCTCGGGACGAGCATGTCTTAGGGGGTGGCAGTGTTGCGCGCCTAAGTTGATGTGTGGTAGCCGGCACTAGCGCCATCTAGTGTCGGGGAACAGAGCGAGGAGGGCTTCCTATAAAATGCCAATCTTGCACTTTTCACCAACAGCGCCATCTAGTATCGAACAGAAGAATTAAGCTTTCTAGAAGGGTCCACTCTCGAACTTTCTGAACTTAGTCGGTCGGCGCCCGTATTTGCTGGAATATTCTGGATGTTTCAGTGGAAGAGCCCTATATAAAGCCGTTGATAGCCTGGGGCAGTATTGACTTTGTCGATACAAGCGAAGTTTCGGATCGGAATAAAGTGAATCAGTGTGATTAATTATTAGTGTTTTTAAGTTTTAATTGGTGTTCGGTAATTAAAGTGTTAACTTTGGTAATTCAATCGGCAGTTTGTCACGAACCCTAAGCTTGTAACAATATAATTCAATTCGAATACGTTGTTAATTTTTTTATTTCTCATTGACATTGAAATAATACTAGTTTTTACGGAATTTATCGCGTATATTTAACTTTTTAATACCCGACGTTTCGAACGCTTTACAGCATTCATGGTCACGGGCGGGACTGAGATGTTCAACGTCCGTATGTCATAGTTAACCGCGGTTACCATAGATTAAAATTTAACTTTTGTTCCGATCTGTGCAGTATGAACTTATGGTATCTTGAAGTCTTGCAGTTGCATGCTTGGGTTGGGACTTAATTTTATCTATTATAGGATCCCAAGCAGATGGTAGCACCCAGCCATCTTCTCTATTGAAATTAGGATGTTTTTTGATTTCAATAGCCTCGCGAATCATCCTTGGAAGGAATCGGTGTTCTTTAGCGAGGATTTGCGGTCTATCAAATCTGATGTAGAGACGGGGGCGATCCTGTACGTGTTCACAGACTGCAGACTTCCCGGAGCGTCGATTCTTCACATCAGCTATATCTTCTTCTTTAGTTTAGTTTAGGAAGTGCCTTGAAACTGAGGATATACGACAAAGAGGTTCTTTTTAGCGGTTAACACGCAAACTTGTGTCTTCTACCAATAACATGTCCAGGCGGATAAATGACTGGCATGTTAGTAGTGAAAACTAGATATCTGATCACAAGCACATTAATTTTGTGATTGGAGTATCACTAACCTATGAAACAATTACTTTTAGGGATCCAAAAGCGACCTCGTGGGATATCTAAAGAGCCTAAGGAGGAATTTGGAAACGTTTCCTAAAAGCATCAAAGCAATTGAAGGTCTGGAGTTAGCGACGGAGACAGTAACCGTAGGTATACGTGTAGCCTTCGAGGACAGTTGTTCCGTCAAAACCAAGACCTCAACACGAAAAGTTCCTTGGTGGAATACTAAGCTAAAAAAAACTTAGGGAAAAGACCAGGAAACTATTTAATTGGGCTAAGAAAACCAAAGAGTGGGATATTTATAGTGCAGCCCTAACTGAATATAATAAAGAGATTAGGAAATCCAAGAGAGCATCGTGGAGGAAGCTATGCGAGAAAGTTGAGTCTTTGCCTCGCAGTGCAAGACTACACAAAATGCTATCGAAAGGTAAACCTAATCAGATCGGGCTTC